ATGTTAAGACCAGGCTACGATGGTATGGTAAGACCAGGCTACGATGGTATGGAAAGACCAGGCTACGATGGTATGGAAAGACCAGGCTACGATGGTGTGTTAAGACCAGGCTACGATGGTATGGAAAGACCAGGCTACGATGGTGTGGTAAGACCAGGCTACGATGGTATGGAAAGACCAGGCTACGATGGTATGTTAAGACCAGGCTACGATGGTATGGTAAGACCAGGCTACGATGGTATGTTAAGACCAGGCTACGATGGTATGGAAAGACCAGGCTACGATGGTGTGGTAAGACCAGGCTACGATGGTATGGAAAGACCAGGCTACGATGGTATGTTAAGACCAGGCTACAATGGTATGGTAAGACCAGGCTACGATGGTATGTTAAGACCAGGCTACGATGGTATGGTAAGACCAGGCTACGATGGTATGGAAAGACCAGGCTACGATGGTGTGGTAAGACCAGGCTACGATGGTATGGAAAGACCAGGCTACGATGGTATGTTAAGACCAGGCTACGATGGTATGTTAAGACCAGGCTACGATGGTATGGTAAGACCAGGCTACGATGGTATGCTAAGACCAGGCTACGATGTTATGGTAAGACCAGGCTATGATGGTATGTTAAGACCAGGCTACGATGGTATGGTAAGACCAGGCTACGATGGTATGGAAAGACCAGGCTACGATGGAATGTTAAGACCAGGCTACGATGGTGTGGTAAGACCAGGCTACGATGGTATGTTAAGACCAGGCTACGATGGTATGTTAAGACCAGGCTACGATGGTGTGGTAAGACCAGGCTACGATGGTGTGGAAAGACCAGGCTACGATGGTATGGAAAGACCAGGCTACGATGGTATGGTAAGACCAGGCTACGATGGTGTGGTAAGACCAGGCTACGATGGTATGTTAAGACCAGGCTACGATGGTATGGTAAGACCAGGCTACGATGGTATGGAGAGACCCGGCTACGATGGTATGTTAAGACCAGGCTACGATGGTATGGTAAGACCAGGCTACGATGGTATGTTAAGACCAGGCTACGATGGTATGTTAAGACCAGGCTACGATGGTATGTTAAGACCAGGCTACGATGGTATGCTAAGACCAGGCTACGATGGTATGGAAAGACCAGGCTACAATGGTGTGGTAAGACCCGGCTACGATGGTATGGAAAGACCCGGCTACGATGGTATGTTAAGACCCGGCTACGATGGTATGGAAAGACCAGGCTACGATGGTGTGGTAAGACCAGGCTACGATGGTATGGAAAGACCAGGCTACGATGGTATGTTAAGACCAGGCTACAATGGTATGGTAAGACCAGGCTACGATGGTATGTTAAGACCAGGCTACGATGGTATGGTAAGACCAGGCTACGATGGTATGGAAAGACCAGGCTACGATGGTGTGGTAAGACCAGGCTACGATGGTATGGAAAGACCAGGCTACGATGGTATGTTAAGACCAGGCTACGATGGTATGTTAAGACCAGGCTACGATGGTATGGTAAGACCAGGCTACGATGGTATGCTAAGACCAGGCTACGATGTTATGGTAAGACCAGGCTACGATGGTATGTTAAGACCAGGCTACGATGGTATGGTAAGACCAGGCTACGATGGTATGGAAAGACCAGGCTACGATGGAATGTTAAGACCAGGCTACGATGCTATGTTAAGACCAGGCTACGATGGTATGGTAAGACCAGGCTACGATGGTATGCTAAGACCAGGCTACGATGTTATGGTAAGACCAGGCTACGATGGTATGTTAAGACCAGGCTACGATGGTATGGTAAGACCAGGCTACGATGGTATGGAAAGACCAGGCTACGATGGAATGTTAAGACCAGGCTACGATGGTGTGGTAAGACCAGGCTACGATGGTAATGTTAAGACCAGGCTACGATGGTGTGGTAAGACCAGGCTACGATGGTGTGGAAAGACCAGGCATTACGGTGGATCTGCGCAGACTTCCTTCTCAAAAAAAAAAAAGAAGAAGTCCGAGATTCTCTGTCTGTGATCATGAGGTTCACTGTCGGCGAGTGCGGGAGAAGCGCTGACACAGAAGTCTGAAGCTGCGTTTGATCCAGAACAGGGCTTGGACCAACTGCACCCTGCACACCGTGAACACTGCTGCAGTGTGTGCGTGGAGCCACAAACACACCTAACGCACTTATGTAGAGAAGACCAGGTCTGGGCAGACCAGCGTCCCCTTCAGTTCAGCACAAAGTTGCCTATTGCTGAGTGTTAGTAAATTGTATGTTTTATGAGCATATTAATAAATGTATTAATATGCTTAGGTGATGGGACATCGGCAGCATTCTCCCCTAGCCCAGTCACGAGTGAAACAGACATTTAAATAAGCAGGAAGCCGAGACTTCTGCTTTTGGTCTGCTTTAGGTAATATCATGTTACCCTGGTATAAGACCAGAGCTCTTTTGTTCACTCTTGGTCATTCTGCTTTCCATCTAGCGGGAGCCAGACTGTGGTCTGTAAATTGTCTGTGTGTGCTTATGTCCAGATAACTGTAGTTTGAACCAGTGCTGACAACATTTATTAAAGAGATTATGCTGTTGAAATGTGACTAGTTTTTTTTACAATGAGTAAAGGTGGTTTTGTGGCAATATGACTATTATTATCTTAGATCATTACTGGTCTATGTGTTTTATTTTATAATGCCATATGACTAAATAAAACCATGTATGCTAGGTTTAAATACCCTCTATCCATCCATCCATCCATTTTCTTCCCCTTAATCCATTTCTGGGTCAGGGGGGTGGCAGTCAGAGCTGCCTCCAGTCCACAGAGCACCAGCCCCTCACTGATCCTCCTGCAGGTGCTGAGTCCACAGGAGCTGAGATCTTTCAGCGGGGGCTTCAGGCAAAGTGGGATTAAGTGTCTTGCCCAAGGACACAACAACAGCAGTCATCAGTGGGAGTCGTGAAGTAGGTCTTATGGTGGGCTCGAACCCACGACCTTGAGGCCCAAAGACCAATGCTCTACCAACTGAGCTACTGTTGCTCTGTAAATATAGTCTAATTAGTCTTTATTAAATATGAATAGACAAAATCCACTTTGAATATTTTATTTTTTTAGTGCAATTCACCAAATATATTCCTCAATCTACTTTAATTCACCATCTATAAAAGACTCATTTGGATCATGATCAGGTGAATATTGAACCGAATCATAGTTGGTTGAAGCTGGAGTAACTTAAATAAATGGGATCAGCAGGTGTATATAGCAGCTGTATACAACAGCTGTATACAGCTGCTGTATACAGCTGCTGTATACACCTCCTGTATCCAGCAGGTGTATACAGCAGCTGTATACACCTCCTGTATACAGCAGCTGTATACAGCAGGTGTATACAGCAGCTGTATACACCTGCTGGATACAGCTGCTGTATACACCTATACAGCAGCTGTATCCAGCAGGTGTATACAGGAGGTGTATCCAGCAGGTGTATACAGCTGCTGTATCCAGCAGGTGTATACAGCTGCTGTATACAGGAGGTGTATACAGCTGCTGGATACAGGAGGTGTATCCAAATGTGAATGGTTTTCTACAGAGAACTCTCGCTCAAAGCCGCTCAGGGAATTTGTGTTTTTGCCCTGACCCATGAAAAATAAGAGGGAACATTGCTCAGGACCAGGCCTCGCTCCGACGTCTGTGATGGAGGAGGTCATGTACCTGTGTCCACATGTACCTGTGTCCACATGTACCTGTGTCCACATGTACAGTACCTGTGTCCACATGTACCTGTGTCCACATGTACCTGTGTCCACATGTACCTGTGTCCACATGTACCTGTGTCCACATGTACCTGTGTCCACATGTACCTGTGTTCACATGTACAGTACATGTGTTTTTAGACCTGGGTCTACAGCCTCAGTCCTGGGTCTCTCTCTCTGTGGTCTCTCTATGTGCTCTCTCTCTCTCTGGCCTCTCTCTCTCTCTGGTCTCTCTCTCTCTGGTCTCTCTCTCTCTGGTCTCTCTCCAGTGTCAGTCAGAGCTTAAATGGCGGTGGCACTCAAAGATAATGAAGAACGATGATGAGGCCAAGAAGGGCAGAGTGACCCAGCCTCCCCCCTCCTCCTGCCCTGCACTCGGCTGGACCTGGAGAGACCAGAGAGAGAGACCAGAGAGAGAGACCAGAGAGAGAGACCAGAGAGAGACCAGAGAGAGACCAGAGAGACCAGAGAGAGAGACCAGAGAGAGACCAGAGAGAGAGACCAGAGAGAGACCAGAGAGAGACCAGAGAGAGACCAGAGAGAGACCAGAGAGACCAGAGAGAGAGACCAGAGAGAGACCAGAGAGAGAGACCAGAGAGAGACCAGAGAGAGACCAGAGAGAGACCAGAGAGACCAGAGAGAGACCAGAGAGAGACCAGAGAGAGCCATGTGGTCACAGATGTTACATAATAACAATAAACATGATCAGACACAAAAGTACATTTGAAACATGAAGAAGTCCTGATGGTATCAAGGCTCTGCTGGTGTCCTGTAACAACAACACCTCTCACATCCTTCTGTTGCAGAGTAAAGTCCCTGTCTGCCTCGTCTTCAGTCCTGCTCTGTGTCTCGTTAACACACGCTGAGCGTGTGCTGCACCTCATGAATAAAACATGTTGGCCTTATTTAAAGCAATCTGTCTGAGAAGTGCCAGAGGGGCCCGAGGTCAACCCCCCCCCCCTCTCCCCCATCACCCTCTCCCCCCATCACCCTCTCCCCCCACCACCCTCTCCCCCCATCACCCTCTCCCCCCACCCTAAGGTTCAAGGAGAGGGGTCCCTGATTAGCTGTAAAGGTGTTCATTAGCTGAAGCGTGTTCCCTGTGCTGCTGTACCTGTGTCTCAGAGCAACACTCTTATCTTTGTGTTTCTGGTTTTAACAAAGTGCAGCAGGTCTAATGGTCCAGGACCAGAGTGAGCTGAGTCTAATGGTCCAGGACCAGAGTGAGCTGAGTCTAATGGTCCAGGACCAGAGTGAGCTGAGTCTAATGGTCCAGGACCAGAGTGAGCTGAGTCTAATGGTCCAGGACCAGAGTGAGCTGAGTCTAATGGTCCAGGACCAGAGTGAGCTGAGTCTAATGGTCCAGGACCAGAGTGAGCTGAGTCTAATGGTCCAGGACCAGAGTGAGCTGAGTCTAATGGTCCAGGACCAGAGTGAGCTCCGTTGAAACTTATGTGACATCACTTTTGGCTTCTATGGGGCTTTTTCAAAATGGCCGTGGGCAGCCCCTCCCACAGGAAAATGTGAAAAAACGCACTTCTTTTTCTGGGTGCACCCCCGCTGGCCCAGGGTGGTACTGCAAGTCAGCGCACGTGCTCATGGACCGAGACCAGGGCGGGTCTTACCTGAACATGTCTCCCAGGCCTTTGAGGACCCCCTTCTTGGGTTTCTTCTCCTCGCTCTTCTTCTTCTTGCTGGTGCTGGTGTTGTTGCTGGTGCTGGTGTTGATGGTCTGCCCCTCGTCTCTGGAGGCGCTGCTCAGGTCTCCGCTGGTGGAGATGGACTCCGGGCCGGAGCGATAGCTGCCCTCGGTGTCCTCGTCCACTGCAACACACACAGTTACACACACCTGGTCATGGTACCATCAGTCACTCCTGCACCTGGTCCAAAGGAAAGGATCTTTATGGTTATGGTGTTGGATAAATGTGGTTCTGAATGTGGTTCTGAATGTGGTTCTGAATGTGGTTCTGAATGTGGTTCTGAATGTGAATGTGGTTCTGAATGTGGTTCTGAATGTGGTTCTAAATGTGGTTCTAAATGTGGTTCTGAATGTGGTTCTAAATGTGGTTCTGAATGTGGTTCTGAATGTGGTTCTGAATGTGAATGTGGTTCTGAATGTGAATGTGGTTCTGAATGTGGTTCTGAATGTGGTTCTAAATGTGGTTCTAAATGTGGTTCTGAATGTGGTTCTAAATGTGGTTCTGAATGTGGTTCTGAATGTGGTTCTGAATGTGAATGTGGTTCTGAATGTGGTTCTGAATGTGGTTCTAAATGTGGTTCTGAATGTGGTTCTGAATGTGGTTCTGAATGTGGTTCTAAATGTGGTTCTGAATGTGGTTCTGAATGTGGTTCTGAATGTGAATGTGGTTCTGAATGTGGTTCTGAATGTGGTTCTAAATGTGGTTCTGAATGTGGTTCTGAATGTGAATGTGGTTCTAAATGTGGTTCTGAATGTGGTTCTAAATGTGGTTCTGAATGTGGTTCTGAATGTGGTTCTGAATGTGAATGTGGTTCTGAATGTGGTTCTAAATGTGGTTCTAAATGTGGTTCTGAATGTGGTTCTAAATGTGGTTCTGAATGTGGTTCTGAATGTGGTTCTGAATGTGAATGTGGTTCTGAATGTGGTTCTAAATGTGGTTCTAAATGTGGTTCTGAATGTGGTTCTGAATGTGGTTCTGAATGTGGTTCTAAATGTGGTTCTGAATGTGGTTCTGAATGTGGTTCTAAATGTGGTTCTGAATGTGGTTCTAAATGTGGTTCTGAATGTGGTTCTGAATGTGAATGTGGTTCTGAATGTGGTTCTGAATGTGGTTCTAAATGTGGTTCTGAATGTGGTTCTGAATGTCAATGTGGTTCTAAATGTGGTTCTGAATGTGGTTCTAAATTTGGTTCTGAATGTGGTTCTGAATGTGAATGTGGTTCTGAATGTGGTTCTAAATGTGGTTCTGAATGTGAATGTGGTTCTGAATGTGGTTCTGAATGTGAATGTGGTTCTGAATGTGAATGTGGTTCTGAATGTGGTTCTGAATGTGGTTCTAAATGTGGTTCTGAATGTGGTTCTGAATGTGAATGTGGTTCTAAATGTGGTTCTGAATGTGGTTCTAAATGTGGTTCTGAATGTGGTTCTGAATGTGGTTCTGAATGTGGTTCTGAATGTGAATGTGGTTCTGAATGTGGTTCTAAATGTGGTTCTGAATGTGAATGTGGTTCTGAATGTGGTTCTGAATGTGAATGTGGTTCTGAATGTGGTTCTAAATGTGGTTCTAAATATGGTCCTTCATGGTCCTTCCTGGTCCTTTCTGGTCCTTCCTGGACCAGGTCAAGGATTATGGTTCAAATGTCAGTCAGGTCTGTGGGGACTTTTACAGCTGTATTATCAACGTGTTTAACTGCAAACGGAAACATCTGAATCTACTGTTTCTGAACATTCATCAGTGACATTCATCAGTGACATTCATCAGTGACATTCATCAGTGACATTCATCAGTGACATTCATCAGTGACATTCATCAGTGACATTCATCAGTGAGATCCATCAGTGACATTCATCAGTGACATTCATCAGTGACATTAATCAGTGAGATCCATCAGTGACATTCATCAGTGAGATCCATCAGTGAGATCCACCAGTGAGATCCATCAGTGACATTCATCAGTGAGATCCATCAGTGACATTCATCAGTGAGATTCATCAGTGACATTCATCAGTGACATTCATCAGTGAGATTCATCAGTGACATTCATCAGTGACATTCATCAGTGAGATTCATCAGTGACATTCATCAGTGACATTCATCAGTGAGATCCACCAGTGAGATCCATCAGTGACATTCATCAGTGAGATTCATCAGTGACATTCATCAGTGACATTCATCAGTGAGATCCATCAGTGAGATCCATCAGTGACATTCATCAGTGAGATCCATCAGTGAGATTCATCAGTGACATTCATCAGTGAGATCCATCAGTGACATTCATCAGTGAGATCCATCAGTGACATTCATCAGTGAGATCCATCCGTGACATTCATCAGTGAGATCCATCAGTGACATCCATCAGTGAGATTCATCAGTGAGATCCATCAGTGACATTCATCAGTGACATTCATCAGTGACATTCATCAGTGAGATCCATCAGTGAGATCCATCAGTGACATTCATCAGTGAGATCCATCAGTGACATTCATCAGTGAGATCCATCAGTGAGATCCATCAGTGACATTCATCAGTGAGATTCATCAGTGAGATCCATCAGTGAGATCCATCAGTGACATTCATCAGTGAGATCCATCAGTGAGATCCATCAGTGACATTCATCAGTGAGATTCATCAGTGAGATCCATCAGTGAGATCCATCAGTGACATTCATCAGTGACATTCATCAGTGAGATCCATCAGTGAGATTCATCAGTGAGATCCATCAGTGACATTCATCAGTGACATTCATCAGTGACATTCATCAGTGAGATCCATCAGTGACATTCATCAGTGACATTCATCAGTGACATTAATCAGTGAGATCCATCAGTGACATTCATCAGTGAGATCCATCAGTGAGATCCACCAGTGAGATCCATCAGTGACATTCATCAGTGAGATCCATCAGTGAGATCCACCAGTGAGATCCATCAGTGACATTCATCAGTGAGATTCATCAGTGACATTCATCAGTGACATTCATCAGTGAGATCCATCAGTGAGATCCATCAGTGAGATCCATCAGTGACATTCATCAGTGAGATCCATCAGTGAGATTCATCAGTGACATTCATCAGTGAGATCCATCAGTGACATTCATCAGTGAGATCCATCAGTGACATTCATCAGTGAGATCCATCCGTGACATTCATCAGTGAGATCCATCAGTGACATCCATCAGTGAGATTCATCAGTGAGATCCATCAGTGACATTCATCAGTGACATTCATCAGTGACATTCATCAGTGAGATCCATCAGTGAGATCCATCAGTGACATTCATCAGTGAGATCCATCAGTGACATTCATCAGTGAGATCCATCAGTGAGATCCATCAGTGACATTCATCAGTGAGATTCATCAGTGAGATCCATCAGTGAGATCCATCAGTGACATTCATCAGTGAGATCCATCAGTGAGATCCATCAGTGACATTCATCAGTGAGATTCATCAGTGAGATCCATCAGTGAGATCCATCAGTGACATTCATCAGTGACATTCATCAGTGAGATCCATCAGTGAGATTCATCAGTGAGATCCATCAGTGACATTCATCAGTGAGATCCATCAGTGAGATCCATCAGTGAGATCCATCAGTGACATTCATCAGTGAGATCCATCAGTGACATCCATCAGTGAGATTCATCAGTGAGATTCATCAGTGAGATCCATCAGTGACATTCATCAGTGAGATCCATCAGTGAGATTCATCAGTGAGATTCATCAGTGAGATTCATCAGTGAGATCCATCAGTGACATTCATCAGTGAGATCCATCAGTGAGATTCATCAGTGAGATTCATCAGTGAGATCCATCAGTGAGATCCATCAGTGACATTCATCAGTGAGATTCATCAGTGAGATCCATCAGTGAGATCCATCAGTGACATTCATCAGTGAGATCCATCAGTGACATCCATCAGTGAGATTCATCAGTGAGATTCATCAGTGAGATCCATCAGTGACATTCATCAGTGAGATCCATCAGTGAGATTCATCAGTGAGATTCATCAGTGAGATCCATCAGTGAGATCCATCAGTGACATTCATCAGTGAGATTCATCAGTGAGATCCATCAGTGAGATCCATCAGTGACATTCATCAGTGAGATCCATCAGTGAGATCCATCAGTGACATTCATCAGTGACATTCATCAGTGAGATCCATCAGTGAGATTCATCAGTGAGATCCATCAGTGACATTCATCAGTGAGATTCATCAGTGAGATCCATCAGTGAGATCCATCAGTGACATTCATCAGTGAGATCCATCAGTGACATTCATCAGTGACATTCATCAGTGACATTCGTTCTCGTCTCGTTCGATGCAATTATCTCGGATCAGAACAATGTTTGCTTCTGTAACAAGTGCAACTGTGAACAAACTTCCACTTGAACTCCTCGCAGCAGATCAGAGACAGCCCTCCCCCTCTCCCTCTCTCCCCCCTCCTCTCTCCCCCCTCTCCCTCTCTCCCCCCTCCCCTCCCCCCTCCCTCCCCCATCACACGTTAAAAGCAGCCCCCCTTTGAACCCCCCCTGCTCATTAGTCTGGCATATATT